CTCAGCGGTCGTCAAGAAGGCCCAACAGCAGCTGCACTTCCTGAGAGTCCTCAGGAAGTACAAGCTGAACTCCAACCTGCTGTTGACCTTCTACCGCTCGTCCATTGAGAGCCTGCTAACCTACTGCATCACGGTATGGTACGGCAGCTGCACCAAAGCAGATAGAGTGGAATTTATACCAATTCCACGTGCAATAACTCAACTGTATATACATAACACAATTTATTACATATTACTTACGGCTTTTATATTGTACATTCTATATATATATATATATATATATATATATATATATATATATATATATATATATGTTTTTCCCTATGTTAATACTGTCCATATGTACATAGCGCTGCAGAACTGTACCCCCCCCAGCATGTTTACACTGAGTAGGAGATGCTCTGTATCTCACTGTACAACTGTATAGTGACAATAAAGGCATTCTATTCTATTCTATTCTATTCTAAGTTGGCTGGAGAGAGGTACATCTTGCCATCACTGTTTACACCACTGTCCCTACAACCTGGACTTGGATAAATGGCAACAATAGACTGAGAATGGACAGATGTCTTTTGCATCTTGATTACATACATACATACAAAAATACATACAAATGGGTTTACTAGCCATAATAACTGCACTTTATCTACATTCCTTTTAGTCCAGGAGTGTCAATTTTAGCTGGCAGTCATAGGTCACCTACAATAAAATGGCACGAGGCTGGAGTAAAATACATCCATCAAATGGAAGACTTTATTAAAGAGAATACATGTTGACACATCAACACACAGTAACAAATCCAACCTATCTGCAAGCAATTGGCTTCCTTTTATACTCGTCCTGTCTCAGGTGAGCATCTGGAATAGCCCAAGTCTGGGGGTCAGCATAAGAAATGAAAACATAAACCTCCACATGAGCAAACATCAACCACAATATAACATATGATCGACATATTCAGATTTGTAACAACTCCTATACATTACTCAATAACATTATAACTTCAATCACTTCTATATAAATTAAAATGCCTTAACCACACTCCCCTAGCCTGGCACATTGGTTTGCTCCAGGAGCTTATAAGCAGGTGATTGAGCTGCTTGTATTCTTTTGTTCCAGAAAAGAAGCAACCAGGAAAGGTCAGTACTGTTACCTACTGATGGGTAGATGAGGCCTCGTGAAGCGTTTCAGCACATTCCCCAAACTGCATCGACACTGTGTCGACACAGTTTTGCTGTTTTGCTCCATACTGACACCTGCTGGACCTTAAATATCATTGCAGGCAACTTACTTGAGACTCACAACAGACACTGATTCAATGACCTAGTCATACTTATATACACTGTATACACTGTAAGGTATTGTACTTTCCATGGAATCATTTTATATCTTCTATATTACAAATATTGTAGACATGTTTAAAATATATTATGAATGACATTAAGTGAAAATTAAAATGAAAGTATTGTGAATGTAATATTACCCATTTGACTCAGAGTTTATTATAAATTTCTATTCAGAAAAATAGGTTTATCCAATGTTTTTGCATTCAGTCTATTGTGATTTTTTTTTTTACACCATTTCCCCAGCTTTGGAAAACTCACAGGAACAGATGAAGCTGGGGTACACAAAAGCTGTAAAGCCAGGTGGATAAGGTTCTGATAAGAGGTCTTCCTATTCCCTCAGTACGTTACACTCTCTCTCCACAATACTAAGGGGTTGGCAGTCCTTTATAATAAAATTCAGGACTGCCTGGTCCAGAGCAGTCTTCCTAGATGAAAATAATAAAACACATATTAATTTAAAAAAAAATGATGATAAAGATGTTCAGTGTTGTTATGGATTCAAATATTGGAGATGGATACAAGAGGAAAAACCACAATAACAACACTGGTCCGGCCGGGTTGAGTCAAACGATGATTTTAATGTACACGCGTGGGAGATGGACACCGTACGCAGACAGCATCAGATCTCAAAATGGTGGAGCATTGATCAAACTCTTATAGCCTCTAGTGGCCCCACCTAATCATAAAAGCCTAAACATTCACATTCTTTCTCTCACACGGCGCCTAAGCTACGACCTTGGCTCCCTGTTTATCTGCTCCTGCTGAGATGGGGCAGAAAACTCCAGCATGTTCTGTTCTCTTCTAATCAGACAAATAAGGCAATGACTTTCTGCAAACAGTATTTCTTATAACTCAGCAGTATAATGCATCATAAAACAATATCATTCATTCACAATAAATCAGCAGTCTAATGTAATGCAAATGTAATAGTTATCACCTTCTTCTAATTCAGGAGAATAATGCAAACTAAAACTACATAATAATTCACAACCTTTAATTAGGGGTCTAACATGGCTTAGGTAATATTATAATCCCACAGTGTCTATATAGGCCTACCAGTGTTCATTCTTGGTGTGTTTGTCTCCTCATTTTCATGTTTGGCTCTGTAATGCCTAAACACTGGGGAGGTGCTTTTGTTTGTGTAAGAAATGCAGAACAGATGTGACATTTAACCTGCATAAAATGAAATAAATAATTTACACTTCAAGTCACATTGCTGTTTTTTTCTATTCTGATAGATTACACTGAAACAAAGGCAGACAAATTATTACCTTATTTGCAGTTAAACGATCAAAATGATCCCAGACAGCAGAAACATTTATTTTTCTTTCGGGCTCCATTTTGTTATGGAGAGATGTGTATTATTATTATTTTTTTATCTTTGCCAGAGTAATTTTGTGTTTTTTTTTGTTTGTTTTTTTTTTGGTGGCGACTCATTCTGTTGGCAGATATGGATGCGGTACCTTTTAAACACAGTTTGGCACGTTGGCAATTAGCGATACAGCAGCTGTATCGATCACGTGACTTTTTCTTAAAGCGACGCACGCACCGATACAGGCATCGCTAGGTGAGCTTGATACATGCGTCGATGCGTCAGTGTTGCTGGACCCATCACTACTGTTACCACTTCTCTTTTTACATATACGAATAATTTAGGTTATACACAAATGATTAAATGTGACCAGCTGTAACTCAAGTTCTTTTCCTTACACAGGTAGGGTGGCCGGTACCCCTGTCTGTTCACCTTTCACAAGCAGTCACTTAAATACTAACTCAAAAAAACCTAATAAAAAATGTGTTTTTCTTTATTATATAGTTTATAAATGCCAATCAGTCAAATTAATAAAAATACAAGTAAGGGTAATGGAACCCCTAGACGAAAGCTCGTTTTGCAGTATATTTCACAATATGAAAAGGTCATCATCCCGGAGTCTTCCTGCGCTGGCCTGCCTTGTCTGACTCTCTTTCTTACTCTTTTTCTCCCTGCTTTTGTATGTGTGTTTATGTTTTGGGGCGTGTTTTTTTTATTTAGCTCTTACAGCATCGGTTTCCCTCCAGGCTTCCCCACCCAGATGTTAAACCTTGCCAAAGATCTGCAATATTAACCAGTCTGGTCCTCATGGGGTCATCAGAGTGACTATTTTAGCCTGAACCACTCCCTTAGTCATTGTAAGATTGTTGCACTGGCTTGAGGTTTTGTGTTGTGGATTCTGTCCTGGTTATGTTTTACATCAGTTTGTTGTCTTTAGTGCTGGCTAGATGCTGAAGTACCATGACCAAAGCTTGACATCTGAACCACAAAAACCTTTTCAGATCGTTCTAGCCTTACTGATTACAGAATTTCTTGGAGGTTTAAATGTTAAAGTGCTAAAGTCACACATTATAGATTTAAATAAAAGTGAAAAAAAATGGTTTGAAGGTTACAAAACTCAGTTCACAACTAGACTTTCTGATTTACAAGTACAAAATATTTATGACCACAATTTGAGCCCATAGCTTTTCTACTAGTAGGGGCGACTATGCAGAAATATGCTGACAGTCTGAGGAATTTTTCGGACATTTTCTCACAAAGTCAAAGACATTTTTCAAATTGAAAAGGAAAAAAAAGAACTTGTGAATTCCATCAGAGCTCTGAGTGTAAGGATTGTTTCATATGGCAATTTATTGTGAAAGCTTATTTTTTTTAAATGCCCTGTATTTGTATAGTGGAAGTGTCTTGCCCAAGGACACAACGACTTACCTAGTAATTGCTTAGGCTGCTACGATACTTAAAGTTATTTACAGAAGAATTTGCATCTGTTTCCCAGGAAAACACTTCAAAATTAAATGAGATTAAGTGAATCCATAATATGGCTCACACCCCAGAAAGTACAGGGTACTTACAGTGCACTTGTTTCATTGTTTCCTGCAGAAACCTGACTTGTTGCCTGCAAATTGCCTGTAAGTACAGGGTACTTGTGCTTTATTTGAGCGTCAAGTTATAAAGTGTTACCCTGATATGTTCTCTGTCAACCATCGACTCTTTATAAATTTAAGGAACAAACTTAAAGATAAGACTGCAACCTAACCAAATATATTTTAAATGGATAATTCAGATAATTAAGAGCAATGAGTTTTCAGTGAGTTTACAATACTTTAGTCAGACTGCAGCCTATTCTGGTGTCTACCATTGACTTTCCTTATCTTAACCCAGACATGCTGCAGTTTGGAGGAACATCTCTGTAACCAGCAGGGTCGGTAGCCATGCCTCCACCCTGCTGGCTGTCAGAAGAACATGATTGACAGTTTCTATGTCACCATGAATAAAAATCTCATCCCATGGAAGGCACAGCTCCTTCGGGGCATTTGGACATGAATTAAAAAAAAAAAGAAGTATTCAATTGCTTATGGTAGGGTGATTAACACATCACAGAGGAAATTTCTTTCAATGCTAATAGTTTTAATTTAAGAATGAAATACAGTTCACTCTACAAAGTAAAGGTCTACAGAAAGCTTTCTTTTAATCGTACAGAAAATTCAGCTCCAGTTCATTGCACATGATGCCTGATTGCTTGCATCATAGCGATGGTGTGGAAATACAGAGAAAGAAACAGCACTGAGAAAGAAAAACACAGATCTTTGTGCTTTTTACTGATGCATTATAGAGTTGATTCACAATTACATAATAATGTTTCCACAGATAGACGGGAGCTCAGTTTCACAGTCCATGCTCTCTAAGCATCCACTCTTTTCCTCTGCAAGAAAACCAAAATAAAACACAAAAATCACACTCAGTCAGTGCTACTCAGACTAAAAAGGTTTCCAACATGGGGTGACAATGTTTAGCAAATAAGTGTAATTTTAGTTTGTTCAGTACTAACTGTGAAATTACAGTATTTGTAAATGGTAATGGTATTTACATTAAAGGGTATTTGTCAAGAAGACTGACACAAACAGTGATTAGCTGTTTTACTTCCTGATTCACAGCCATTTATGTTACTCAATTCAGTGTTCTGTGCCTATATATAAATGTCCCTGTCTTTTTAATCTGTTTCACCCACCATGTTTGTACACAATACTTACAGTTATTTTTTGTACCGCACAATTAACATCTTAGTGAGTGGACAACATTAATCCACATATTAATAACCCAGTACATAGAAGTTTTGAACATAACATGATAGCTTTGTGTAACTTCAGAACACTGTATTTTTTTTTTTTATTTCTAAAATCTCAATTATTTAATGATGCATCACTGGGAACACAAACTGTAAATATTCTAGGATAAAAAACAATGCTCAGTGCAATAATAAGAAAAGAAAAATATACTTTAATACATACTTTTAAAACACTTGATAGAGTAGTAATGAGTTTGAAGTGATAATCAAAATAAATGAATCCAAATAAGATTGTTTTGTTTTTTTAAACACTTGACAGACTTACCAGTAAAAGTTATTTGCAAACAGTGGTGCTCATCTTCGACTGTGTCTCCATTACAAAAGTCAGCAAAAGCAGACATTCCCAAATAATCACTCCAGGACCAAGAAGGATTCTGTTAAAGCAAAATAAAATATTATATAAATTCATATTCATAAAAAAAAACAATTGTTTCTCAAAATCTTAGACATCATGCTATTTACCCCTGGACTATTATGGCCTCCAACCCAAAATTCTCCATGATCATGTCCAGCACGCTTCAGCTCCGCTTGAATCTCATAAGCTTGAAAGTCATCATACACAGATGCAAGCTGTCCTCCATGAGAGTGACAGTTATTCTACGATGGAGATAAACAGCATGGAGTGACCAAGAAAATGTAAGATTTATTAATAGGAAAAAAGTCATCCTTGTTACCTGAGCATCGTCCCAGGTCATGTTTTCTGGAACAAAGATGAGGCACTGTTGACTGTGCATACTCCATCCATCTGGGCAAGATGGATGCCAGCCCCCAAATGAGTCATCTGCAAACAAATAACAAATAAAGAAGAAAGCATGAAACTGAGTCTGCAGTGCAGATTTTCCTTATGTTCAAATTTAATTTTAAAGAAGGAAAAAATAAAATAAATTCATATACTCCAATAACTATACCCACCTTCTGTAGATGGGGGTGCTGGTGGTGTTACCCAAAAGTCTGCATCTACAAGAGTTAAAATGTTTTTTAGTCGCAATTAATTTTTTAGGGTAATAAATGTATTTATTAGTGGATCAAAAAAAATATTCTCATTAAAAGACAACTTTTAGATTCACCTGGCACAATTGTTTCCTCTGGAAGAGCTGCAAAGACAGTTTGAACCACAGATATTTTTTAGTGTATCATTGCTGTGGTGTCATTGATTACCTTCTACGTTCTACAACATTAAAAAGAAATACAAAATACAGGTAAATTACAGAAGTGAAGAGATACTAGCAAAATGTAAACTAAGAAATAAAAATGTTACCTAGCATGTCCTTATATACAGTATAATCACTGTATGATTACATAAGCTTATGATGTGTATTATATGACCTTATTGTACAATATTTTTTTAAACAACTAAATAAAGAAGAAAGTATGAAACTGAGTGTACAGTTGTGGCCAAAAGTTTTGAGAATGACACAAATATTAGTTTTCAAAAAGTTTGCTGCTTCAGTGTTTTTAGATCTTTGTTTCAGTTGTTTCTGTGATGTATAGAAGTATAATTACAAGCACTTCATGAGTTTCAAATGTTTTTTATTGAGAATTACATCATGTTTATGCAAAGAGTCAGTATTTGCAGTGTTGGCCCTTCTTTTTGAAGACCTCTGCAGTTGTCAATTAACTTCTGTGCCAAATCCTGACTGATGGCAACCCATCCTGTCATAATCACTTCTTGGAGTTTGTCAGAATTAGTGGGTTTTTGTTTGTCCACCTTGAGGTTTGGCCACAGGTTCTCAATTGGACTGAGGTCTGGGGAATTTCCAGGCCATGGACCCAAAATTATTTGTTCCCTGAGCTACTTACGTATCACTTTGGCCTTATGACACGGTGCTCCATCATGCTGGAAAAGGCGTTGATCTTCACCAAACTGTTCTTGGATGGTTGGAAGAAGTTGCTGTTGGAGGGTGTTTTGGTACTATTCTTTATTCATTCCTGTTTTTTGGCATAATTGTGAGTGAGCCCACTCCCTTGGATGAGAAGCAACCCCACACATGAATGGTCGCAGGATGCTTTACTGTTGGCATGACACAGGACTGATGGTAGCACTCACCTTTTCTTCTCTGGACAGGCCTTTTTCCAGATGTCCCAAACATCAGAGAAAATGACTTTGCCCCAGTCCTCAGCAGTCCACTCGCTGTACATTTGCAGACTATCAGTTTGTCCGTGGTGGGGTTTTTTGGGAGAGAAGTGGCTTCTTTGCTGCCCTTCTTGACACCAGTCCATCTTCCAAAAATCTTTGCCTCACTGTGCGTGCAGATGGACTCACACCTGCCTGCTACCATTCCTGAGCAAGCTCTGCACTGGTGGCACTCTGATACCGCAGCTGAATCATCTTTAGGAGACGATCCTGGTGTTTGCTGGACTTTCTTGAGCGCCCTGAATCCGTCTTCACAAGAATTGATCCGCTTTCCTTCAAGTTCTTGATGATGTGATAAATGGTTGATTTAGGTGCAGTCTTAGTAGCAAAAACATCCTTGCCTGTGAAGCCCTTTTTATGCAACGCAATGATGGCTACGTGTGTTTCCTTGCAGGTCACCATGTTTAATAGGAAGAACAACGATTTCAAGCATCACCCTCCTTTTAATACATGCAGTCTGTTATTCTAACTCAGTCAGCATAACATAATGATCTCCAGCCTTGTGCTTGTCAACATTCTCACCTGAGTTGATGAGAACATTATTAAAATGATCTCAGCAGGTCCCTTTATGGCATGAAATGCTGAATGATGAAATGCAGTGGAAATTGAATTTTTGAGATTAAGTTCATTTTCATGGCAAATAAGGATTTTGCAATTCATCTGATCACTCTCCAAAACATTCTACTGTAGAGTATATGGATATAAAAACTGAAGCAGCAAACTTTGTGAAAACAAGTATTTCTGTCATTCTCAAAACTTTTGGCCACGACTGTACAGTATAGATTTTTCTTATGCTCAACTTCAATTTTAAAGAATGAAAAAAATAAAATAGAATAAAAGAAAATCACATACTCCAATAAGTACTCACCTTCTGTAGATGGTGGCGGTGTCCCCCAATTGTCTACATCTGCATGAGTTAAAATGTTCTTTGGTTCCAATTAATTTTGTAGTGCAATAACTTCCATTATTTATTAATGTATTGAAAAAATATATTCTCATTAAAAGACAACTTTTAGATTCACCTGGCATGATTGTTTCCTCTGGAAGAGCTGCAAAGACAGTTTGAAAGACGTTTTATTTGAAACACAATTCTTTTTTGTGAAAAATCTAAGATATTCCATTCTCTGGTCATGTGTTGCATGTATATTCTGTATCTGCAGAGTATATATGTATATTATAAAGTAGATAAAGTGAGAGGAAAAAAATACTTGTTTTAAATACTCACATAGACTGTGTGTGAAAGTCATCATGACACACACATGAAGAAACACAGTCAGCATCTTCATGGTGCAGAAATGAAATCTGATGATAACGTTTGAAAAACATATTAGGAAATGTTACTTTTGCAGTCAGCTCATAATGCTGTACTGATATTTAATAGATAACTACTAATTATTCATTAATAATGAAGAAATAAATCGACTGTAAAATTACCTTTTGTTTGTCCTTATCAGTGTCAGTTTGCCTGTGTTGAGCAACTGTATGCAGCTTCAAGTCAGAAAGAAATGACTAATTCAAACACGATCAAGAGCTTTTATTGGCCTGATAACACCCTCATCCTTGTCCAATGAATTATTTTTGTTCTGGAGGCAGCTCACCTGACCTGCCACCAGAACAAATAAGGTAAACTTTATAACATTCATGTGTACTCAAGGCAGTGGATATATAAACAAAAGCAAATAATCATTGTAACGTGGTACTTTAACCTCCAAACACCCGAAATCTTTCATGGCATGCATTTTTAACTTCCAGTGTTGGGTGTAATGCGTTACTAAGTAACGCGTTACTGTAATTAAATTACTTTTCCACTGAAAAAGTAGAGTAACTAATTACTGTTCATTTTTAGGTATTTTAATTAGTTACTTACAATGCACTTGCGTTACATTGTAAAATAATTAAACTCGCTGAATATCATTATTTAGTTTCAATGATTTATCTTCTAAATGTAGAAGTAAACTCTGCCGCTTTAACATCGCTGTAGTGCAGCTGTACGTCATTTCGCGCCAGTTTGCTGCATAGTCGTATTCTAAAGCGGAAGATGTCGGACTCGGCTGAAGCGAGTGTCTGTGTTTTGAAATGGACATATTCCCGTCTCTTCACTTTTCTGAAACAAGCAGACACGAACATTACAGTAATATGTAAGCTATGTCCTGGGGACAAAAAACTATCGTCTGCTGTTAATAGCACGAGTAATCTACTGAAGCGCCTGACACGACAGCATAGACGAACACTTCTGAGTGATCCTTGTTCATCATCCGTGGATAACACCGCGGCAACTCCTGCTAAGCAGGCAAAACGTGATTTTTACTTCAGCAGCACAGAAAGCGTCTGAAGGTGATCTTAAAAAAATAATTGCAGGCTACATTGTGGAAGAGATGCTACCGCTGCGTACTGTAGAGTCTACGTCTTTAAAAATATTATTTATTATTTAAAGAGTTTAATTTCTATTGTTTGCCCACTCAAGGTTTATAGGGATTTTAAGAAGTATTTAGTTAAATTACTTTTTTAGTAATTAACCCTCTGAGTTCGCCGGACGCACCGGCGCGTCAAAATCACATGACCAATTTAAGACGACACAACATGCAGCATGTCAGAGTCTCCATTTCAACTTGGGTTGAAAGTGCGGACTTCAAACTAAATACCAGTTTTTGAATTGTGTTGATGGGCCACGTAAAACCAGAGTTATAAAATAAAAAATACACGCAATGTTTTTTTTCTGAACAAAACAGTGGTGTTTACAGCGGGAAGAACGGTAAAAACTGCGTTTTCTACAGACAGCGCTAGCAAACACTCTCCGCTTGCGAGTGAAAAAAGCAAAAACACCCCTTCCCTATTGGTGTGAGTTTACCATGTAAGCCAATCAAAGAAATGATAAGGCAACATGTGACATTTGGTTGTTTAGGGAGAAGGGGAAGTTTTTAGGAGTGACACTCGCAACGGAAAGCGGGCGAGCGAAAGACAGAGAGAGAGAGTGAGTTTTCATATGTGAGACATTAGTGACGTTTAGCATGTTTGGAGGCTGTAGCTAGTGTGTTGTGTAGTTATTGTCTTGTATTGTGTGTCAGTTATACTGCTGAATTTCATATTTGCTCTAAAAAAGCCATCAAAGGCAGATTCCAGTGTAAACGCTGTTCTGTCAGACCTGCAGGTTTTAGGCCTGTGGTGTTCTCCTCTGTCTTATACTGAGCACAAACTACATTTTTGGACTGGCACAAATAATTTGTGTGCCTTCTTATTTGATGCAGCACACCTGATTGTTCTGTAAATAGATTTAAATGGTTATATAAAAAACGCCTGAGGCCTTGGCTGCATTTTTAGGTAAATAGTACCATATAACTTTGTTGTTTGCAAAACTTGTGCATAATTTTTAGAAATGTACAATTTCTATTTGTATTTCAAGTTATGAAAATGATTCGTTAAATATGTTTGTGGGTTATACAGTAAAAAATATAACTTTTTTCTACTCGGATTTTGAATTTTTTGTCTTAATTTAGATCAACTGTGCTAATATAGTATACCAAAATGAAAGAATAACTCAAATTTCAGATATTTGAGGTTGTGCTGAAAATAATGATACCAAACAAGGCAAGAAAAACACATTTTAAAGGTGAAACATAGAGGTCAAATCAAAAGTAGTCAAAAACGGCCAATTATACCCTGGACCCAGGAGGGTTGAGTTACTTTTCTGACACAGTAATTAGATAAGTATTTTAAATACAATATTGACTAAGTAATTAGTAATTAATTACTTTTTTAAAGTAACTTACCCAACACTGTTAATTTATCTTTGATATTTGAGCATATTGGGACCCAGTGAATGTAAAAACAAAGAATTACCAGATTTCTTTCTTTTTTTACCTGATTTTTGTTCCTAAGAAAAAATGACAGCCACATATGAGGATATTTGTTTAAAATTTCAATAGAACAGTAGCAGTATAATGTCCTCGTAAGCAGTGTTGGTCAAGTTACTTTAAAAAAGTAATCAGTAACTAATTACTGATTACTTCCCCCAAAAAGTAATCTTGTTACTTTACTGATCACTTATTTTCAAAAGTAATTAATTACTTAGTTACTTAGTTACTTTTTAAAAACACGATTTATAACCTGAATAGGTAATAAAGCGAAAGATCTTTCAGCCCAATTCTACTTTTTCTGCATAATCTCTTTTTAACTTGTTTTATTAGTTTTAATCTTTTAACTTTATGCATCAAGCAAAAATGTAATTATATGCAACATTCTCTGACTGGAAGAAATTTGTTTAAAATTTAAACCTATTTTCTGCACATTCCAGCACATAAAATAAAATATTTTTTGTGTTTACACTCACTCTTTCAAATAGATGCAAGTAAAACACAGCAGAAAATAAATAAAATCAAAGACTCAGCTGTCCCGTTGCTCTATTTTCACCTGTAAAGCAGGAGTGGGGAAGGCGGAGGTTTGCGCTGGTGCAGGTGTGCCACAGCGATCAGTGGAAGAATCCACGAGTTTCTCTGTGAACTTCCCATTACGTCGTAGTGCACTTGGTGCTTGCTCTGAAGTTTAGGGGGTTTTTTTTCGTTATAAAAAGAAGTTTTCTTCCCACGCACAACGGACACTAATGTTTTTGTCACTTTTTATGAAATCAAACTCAAAATAAGGTCAGTACTTCCATTGTTGATCTGCACACAGCTGTTGTCACGAACGTCGCACTCGCTTACGTCATTGTCATGAGACATTCTCGCAAAAAACTCACGGTTTTAGTAACGCAGTAACTCAGCGTTCCTACGGGAAAGTAACAGTAATCTAATTACCTTTTTTGCAATAGTAATCCCTTACTTTACTTGTTACTTGAAAAAAGTAAAAAGTAATCGGATTACAGTAACGCGCATCTCTGCTTGTAAGTGGATATCAGACCCTTGTAGAGCAAAATTGATTATTTTGGTCTAAATAACACAGAATGTGATGTCCACATAGGTGGACGCCAGGTCCTAGAGAGTTAATACTCCTCTGTTTTATTATGGAGGAGGAGCTAACCCAACTGCAAGCAGAAAATCGGCAGATGCTACAAGAGCGAGAACCTGATCAACCTGGGACCAGCACTGCTTCCACCAATCTGTCTACTCATAGGTATTCCTCTGCTTCAGTTCCAATAACAGAGAGTGATCTACCTGCCTCATGAAAGGAAGTGCTCATTGTTCAGAGGTAAGACTGTATAAGTATCGTTGAGTGGGTTGAAGAAGTTTAGGCTTAAGGGCATGACCAGTCGAACAAGCCCTTTTCATTTATCATCATCTAGGAGACACTTAAGAGATTAAGTATTGACTTTAAAAGGAAAAAGAAAATCCAGAAAAGATTCCGACTATTTTACAGGAATTGTATGGGTGTACTAAGTCATATGTATCTTTCTTTTCAAGACAAAAACGGGAAGTAGAACCATTGCAGGAATTTTCACATGCTCTTATCTTTCTAATGGATGGAGCTGTAAAACAGTCCCCTCATACTCTGCTGAAAAAAAAGCCTGTTTATCACAGAATTGATTTCTGTGATAAACAGGAAGCCAATGAAGAGAGGACAGGATAGTTGAGATATGTTCATGCCTGTGTGTACCAGGCCAGCAACATTGAACAAGCTGAAGACATGAGATGGATGCTTGGCTGTCTGCAGTATAAGGTGCATTGCAATATTCAAGCCAAGTTGAGATAAAGGCGTGTATTATTTCCTTCAAATCATGCCTTGACAAAACTGGTTTAATCTTTGCTATTTGCCTAAACTGGAAAAGGATTTTCTTCAACACAGAACTGATTTGTTTATTCAGTTTAAAATCCAAGTCCATAATGACTCCCAGATTTGTGACATGCTGTTTGACCTAAGCCAACCATAATTAATAACTGGGTTGCATGAGATATTATTAGGCCAAAGTATAAT